TGCTGCTGCTGCGGCTGCTCAGGAGGCCGCCGACGCCCTGACCCTCCTGGAGCCCTGGTCAGATCCCCCCCTGCCGCCCCTGTGTCGTGAGGTGGGCGAGTTGGTAGGAGGGTGTGTGTGGGGGGGGGAAGCTAGGTGGGCAGGAGCGTCAGTTGTTGGTTCGGTTGGTTGTTAGGTGGTTAGGGTACGGTTGTATTTCTGGAGGACTGTTTTTTCGGTTCTCCTCCCGGATGACCTGACCAACTGACTGGGAGGTTCCCCTTCAGGAGGAGGAGGAGGAGGAGGACCGGGAGGCAGGGGGTTGCAATGAGGAGTGTACGGACATAACCACCACCAGCGCCGCCGCCGCCGCCGTGGTCGCCGACGCCGCCGCCGCCGTGGTCGCCGACGCCGCCGCCGCCGTGGTCGCCGCCGCTGCCGCCGACGGCGGCATCAACCCCGAGGGTGCTGGTGGTGCTGCTTCCGCTGTCGACACCTCGGCGGTGGACAATGGCGCCCCGCCGCCGCCAACATCTTCGCCGCCGCCCCAAGAGCTGCCTCCGCCGCCTCCGCTGTCGCCTTCACCGCGGCCGAGTCCCCCTTCGGACCGCCGCGGTGACGGCGAAGTAATCCGGCTGGTGGGTAAACCCTAAAACCCTAAGAATCACATGCAGCGTGCGTCATGTCAGAGAGTCTGAGGGAACTGAACTTCGGTCCGTTCATTACAAGGGCCTGAGGCCCCCGCAGGCGGGGCCTCCCCCCCAAAACAGGCTGGCCCGCCTATCGCTCCGGAAACCATCTGTATCCATCTGCCGCCTTTTCCTTTCCCCCTTGACGCCCGTCTCCTCTGCACCACCCGTTCCGCGGCTCCAGGGTGACGACCCGTCGCCGCCGCCGCCCCAGCCGCCGCCGTTGGGTCAGCAGCAGCAGCAGCAGCCGGAGGAGGAGGAGGAGGAGTGGGATTCAGAGGAGGAGGAAGAGGAGGAAGTGGTGAGCCGCGGCGCGCGCGTCCGTTTGTGTGCGTGTGTATGTGTGTGCGTGTGTGCGTGTGTGTGCGTGTTTGTTTGTTTGCGGTTCATCGATGGCAGCCACTCCCGACTTCACTCCCCCTGCATCCCCACCTCACACACCCCTCCTCCCTCCTCCCGCCCAGGACCCGGACACCGACTATACCCTGCGCCCCCACGCCTCCATACCGCCGCCCGCCGGCCCGCTGCTGCTCATCCTGCTCAGTGGCATTGCGGCAGACAACTCGGCGGCCGCCGCAGCCTCCGCGTCAGCCGGCGGCGGTGCATCCAGCGATCGCCACAACGCGGTGCGCGCCGCCGCCACACCTGTGCTAGACGCCGCAAGGGCCGCCGCCGCCGCCGTCGGTCGCATCCGTACGGTACGTGCAGCCGGCGAAGCCGTTGGCTTGCCGGCCGCCGCCGCAGGCGCCGTCGCCCACAGCGAAGCCAGCCACCTGACTCTTGCTTGTGGCCGTGCGCTGCCACAAGCCGCCAGCTTGGTGGATGCGGCCCTGGCTTCCGGTGCGCTGTTTCGGAGCCCGGGCTGGAGGTACCTTAGAGGCGCTTTCGCGGCGCCGCATACCGTACACTTTATAGGCCTGTTGTCCGATGGCGGCGTGCACTCGAGTGTACGGCACCTGACGGCGCTGCTGCGCGGCGCAGCGAGCCGCGGCGCGCGGCGGCTGCGTGTGCACGTGCTGCTGGACGGTCGCGACGTTCCTGACGGCTCCTCAGTGACGTGTGTTGACGACCTGGAGAGCGAGCTGGCGGCGCTCAGAGCGGCGGGGTGCGACGCGAGGGTGGCGAGTGGCGGCGGGCGCATGCGAGTCACCATGGACCGATATGAGGTGTGCCGTACAGTGCCGTACAGTGCCGTACAAGGTTCGGCTTTGGGAGTGTCTTTAAGGAAAATGTCGTCTCTTCCGTTGGAGGTGTTCCCTCCGGGCTGCATCAGAGCAGCATATTATATAGCATCACGACCTTTGCGACAACAGTCCCCGGAATCTGCACGGTAGCTTTCTGGGCCGTTCCGAACAGACTCCTCTTAGACTCCTCCTGTCCCCACCACACCTGTGCCCCCCACTCGCCCTTCTCGCCCTGTGCTCCGTTTGGGACCCTGTTCCCCGCCTCCGTACGGGCGGCGCCCTCGCGCCTGTGGCCGATCCACACAGTCGAACTGGGCCGCGGTGAAGAGGGGCTGGGATGCACACGTGCTGGGGGAGGCGCCCCACAAGTTCCCGGACCCCCTCACCGCCGTCATCAAGCTGAGGGTGCGTAGGGGAGGCACGGAAAGGGGTGGTGGCGGCGGCGGTGGCGGTGGCGGTGGCGGTGGCGGTGGCGGTGGCGGTGCGGACTTGGAGGTTCTCGAAGGGCGGTGGGCGGGGTAGCGGATCAGAGGGGGCAACTCGACCCGGGCCGACAGCTGAAGTCCGGGGGGGATGGGGACCCGAGGGGGAGGCCAAAGGGGGGGGAGGGGGATTGATGCCGGGGGAGCTGACGGGGTGGTGAGGACAGAGATACACATACATACATCCCAACAACTGCTGATGTTCCGGCTTCTCAGGCGGCGGGGCCGGGGGGTTCATTGGCCACTTCCAATACCCGCACCCGGCCCCAGCTGCATGGCTCCATGCATGTCGAGCTCTCTCCTCTGAACATCTCTCACCCGTCCACACCGCGCATGTGACCTCACGCCCTCCCGCCTGGCACAACACCCCCACGGGACATATACAGCTACACATACAAACATACACCTACACGTAGCCCCAACTCTTATGGATGCAGGGCTCCGAGACCAATCCCGTATCGGATCAGCACCTGGAGCCATTCGTCATCGTGGAGGAAGAGGAAGAAGATGTGTACGACGAGTACGACGATGACTTCAGCGGCGATGACGATGACGATGATGATGACGATGGTAACCGCCCTCGCAACGGCCGCACAGGTGGCGGTGGTCGTGGTGGCGGTGGTGGTGGTGGTGGTGGTGGTGGTGGGCAGCCTGTGGGTCCCATTCTAGACGGCGACGGCGTGGTGCTGTTCAACTTCCGCTCCGACCGCATGACGCAGCTGGTCCAGGCGCTGGAGGCGCCCGAGGGGCAGTTCACGGGGTTCGACCGCGGGAGAGTGCCCAAGGTGTGGGCATATGCGTGGGGGAGGGGGTGGGGCTGCGGCGGTTGAGGCGGTTGAAGGCGGTTGAAGGCGGTTGTGGCAGTTGAGCAGGAAGAAGGGCCGGTGTGAACCAACACGGGTCAGCCGCCACTCGCTCTCGCGCGCAGTCTGCTCGCCCCTCACCACCCCGGGGCCGTACCGCTGCCGTACTGAGTGCCACCGCACGGACTTGTGTTCCTTTGATCCGGAGCCGTCCTGCTGCTGTTGGCATTGACACCGATTGTTGACTAGCGTCCTTCGGAAAGGACAACTTGTTTCTTTCCGTGTGTATACTTCCTGGGGACTAGAGCTTTTGTGTTTTGTACTCTGTCCCCCTCCTCTTATCTAACTTGTGACTCTCAGGAGGCTCTAACTTGGGCCTCCTCCGCTGGCTCGTACGGCCTCGCGTTACACCTCTCGGCCTGGGTAACGCAGCGTGGAGGGATAACATACATATATACAGACATACTCACACACACAGATGGTGTTTCTGAGGCTCCCTTTTCCCCCTGCCCCCTGCCCCCTCAGGACCTCCGAGTGGTGGGTTTAACCCGCTACTGCCACTCCCCCCGACTGCCCTCCCGCTGTCTGGTGGCCCCCGCTCGGGGCCGCCGACCCCACCTCCTGACCAGATACCTCGCGGCCAGCGGGGTACCCGCACTGGCAGTGGGGGAGCCCAGCAGCGCGGGACACCTGACGTTCTGTTGGAACGGCAACGCGTACGACAAACTGCACGACGACAGCATTCTGGACGAGCACCGCGTGGTACGGCAGGACGTGGATGGGAAGGGGTCCAGGTTTACAACATGCAGTCAGCGAACGAGGAGACACAAACGCATATGAGGGGAAGGGGGGGCGGGGGACGCGAAGAGAGGCCCTCGAGGAGGCTATATTCGTGTGCGAAGTGGGTGGGTAATAAGTATTTACAATATACGAGTGCGTGAAGAGTGACGCGTTTTCTCTACCCAGCAAATAAAACCTTTTTTTCCTCCCGCGCAGGTGCCGTACTGCTGCACGACTGACGTTGCATCCAAGGTCCAGGGTGGAGGGGGCTCTGCCTCCCGGCCCGGGGGGGCCGACTCGGGGCCTGCATCGGATTGTACTGCATCGTTGGCGTTGGCTGCTGCAGTTCGAGAGGCGCTCCATGAGGCTCGACATCGCTTCATCCGGGTGCTGCTGCCGGATGCGGACTTGGCGGCGCATACGGGTGAGTGAGCGAAGGGGCGGGGCCCTTCCTAGCTGGGGTGCGTTGGAGGGGGTGAGGGACGGGACATGCTCGGCTAGCGTGGTGTGGTACTCCGATCTTATCTCCGCTGCTCCGCTGTCTCACCATGTTTCCCCCCGCGCCCTCTTGCACAAACACATACCTATGCATGTACATGTACATGTACATGTACATGCATGTATTGCGCACATACGCGCACTCAGGTGACCTGGCCGCCACCATTCGGGCCGTGGAGACCGTTGATGCGGCCGTTGGGGAGCTGATATCAGCCGTTGACGCGGTGAACGGTAGGTGGCTGCTGACGTCAGACCACGGCAATGCCGACGATATGGTACAGCGCGACGTATGGGGTTGCCCACTGTACGACGATGACGGTCGGCCGCTGCCGTACCCGGGTCACACGAATGCACCCGTGCCAGTGCTGTTCGGCGGCGCGGGTTTGCCAGACGGAGTTCGGTTTCGGAGCGGCCTTCCTGAGGCGGGGCTGGCTAATGTGACAGCGACGCTGCTCAATTTGCTAGGTTTCGGGGCGCCGTGTGCGTACGAGCCGAGCTTACTGGAAGCACGATAGGGCTGATGCGGGAAGCCGGTGGGGGAAGGGAAAAACCTGCGCGCACGACTGTCTCTTGCCTTGTTCCTTTCTTTCATTATTTCTTTCCTCACTCTCCCATTAGTTTGCTTAGAAGGAAAGGGAAGGGAACGTTATGTGTTCAGAACGCACATCGGGTCCTATGCGGGACCGTACATCGTGAGGAGGTACAGTTATGATGATGTGTGTTTCTGGCTGCGCATTAAAACGGATGGTTTTCTAACAAAGCGTTTGGAAAACTAACAAAGGTTTGAATTTCGAAAATGCGTTGTACGACGTACGGACTTGCGAGGTTCACCTACCTGGCGCAGCAAGCGACAGTGCTGCTTGCTTCGGGTTTACGTGGGCCACACACGCCGCGGGCGCTGCCCTGACGGTGCTGGTATGCAGGCCTGGAATAGCTCTGTCGCTTCTTCGCCCCCACCCGGCCCTAGAACCCTATTATTTTGCGAATTTCCGAACACTAACCTTCACTGCTTGCAGGTGCTTTCAAAGTAACGCAGACCGCCTAGGCCACCCGGTCATGTCACCTCACCTCACCTCACCTCACCTCACCTGGTTCTTCGCAGTCAGATACAGTTTTGCATCAGATTCTTGAGCATTGGGACCGGCCTCGCTACCTGCGGCTTGACCCAAAGATTTTGGGCATGCCGCCGCGTCCTACCGCATCGCGCAAATGCCTTCAATTCTGTGTCGTCGGCAACTTAGGGTTTTTCAGCTGAAGGCCTTCCTTCCGTTTGTGGTGCAGCCGTCCTGTGTATAAAGCGCGCTGTGTTGTTTCTGTGTTTTCGAGCATCGAGGTGCTTCGTTACTGCAGGAAAGACGGCCCCGGCATTGGCCGTACTTCCATCTTTCCCCACCCGTAGTACCCTCTCCGCGTCCTACATCCATTCTCGCACTCGCACGTTCACCACGGATGGCAGTCACAGCACAAGCACCAACAACAGCCCACCTGGTTAGCCACATGGTTAGCCGTTCAACCCTTACTTATGTTTCAACGTCGTTAGCTGACTAAACGGCGCTGTTGTCACCTCACTGAATCACCCGCATGCTCTTGCATGCGGTTCACACGGTGGTTCACGGCGGCCACGGGTCCACATTTCTATCCTACTCTTTCCCATCTGTATCCTGTATCCAGGAGGCTAGATAGATACTCGTCGTTCTTGTGGAGGTGGAGGAGGCGCGCAAAGCACCGTCCATGGATTTGCATTGGCGCCTTAGCAGCAAGTGTATACACCAGGTTCATACATCACTCCAACGCCGCCGGCCGCCGCACCCGCCCCGCGCAGCTATCCATAATAATGAGCGTGCCGTCCAAACACGGCACCGTTCCTCCATTTGCAGCCCAGTGCCGCACAGACCCCCCTGCTGGGTGATTGGCTGGGTGATTGGCTGGGTGACGCTGCACCGGGGCCGAGCCATTTTCGGGTTCGAAGCAGCTCAATACCCTTGTTTCTTTTCCACGTCCTCCCTTATGGGGAGCACGCCACGGCCGCAGCGATCACAGCGACAGAGCCCACATCTCGGGCAGTGGAACAGGTGTGAGTTGTCCCGGGGCGACAGCAGTCACACGCGCCGCGGTACCCTGGATTCCTGTGGGGTTGGAACCCGCAAACAGTAGCCGCAGAGTCAGCCAGATAGCCTACTTTACTTTACTTTACTTTCAAGAAAATCAAGGAAAATTTCCCCAAGAGCAGGAAGGCATTTTCTTTACGCGCATATCCTTTGCACCCACCATCAAGGATGGCTATGTATAATTATGGATTGCTGTTGCGCTCGGATTCACGCACACTATAGTCGGGTGAGGGCATTGTCAGACTACTGTAGGTATGCAGGTCGTCCAGTACACCTCATAACCCTAAGTTAACAGGTCTGCTACGCGCTGTGCGCGGCACGCTTAATCGGACATTTCAACGTGGCTTACTCCGGGCTGGTGCTCATGCGCAGCTAAAGATAAGCGACGGGGTCGGCAATGTTCTCTACCTTTGAGCTGAGGGGATGTGCATACTGCCGTTCGAGGTGAGGCGCTGGCAATGTGACGGTGCAGCCCTGGAGGAAGGGCTGCAGTCGTGTAAATGGCTCCTGTAACGGGGGTTCCATGAGCCGCGCCCGAAGCCGGAAGAGGCAGAGAGACTATAAGTGTGCTGCATATTTCAAATGCGTCACCGCCGACAGCCGTACATGTACGTCGTGTTAAGTTCAGCGCCATCACGTTTCCAAACGAATAAATTGCTTTTTTTATAAGGAGTTTGATGCAGTGCTCATCTGATGGACACGGGAGGCGGCCGCCGCAGCGCTGGTTCGGATTACCCGCAGCCAGGTAGGTCCCGAGCCTCACTTGGGCGAATTTCTTGGGAGAAACATCGTCCTCCCCCTCCTCCTCCTCTTCCTCTTCCTACCCCGCATTCGTCTCCGCATTCTCGTCATCGTCAAACAGGTCACCCAACACATCGCCGTCACAGCCCTGACGTTCGCGGGTCGCTCGCGACTTAAGTTTACGGGCTCCGTCCGGGTGAGAATGGGCTCACAGAGCACTCACGGCGATAACTTGTCGAATATTTACATATTGCATATAACATTACGTGCAACGACACGTTCCCAATGGCCACGGCTCCGCTTCGATTCACCCGTAGCAAACCCTCCAGAAGGCCGTATGGGCAGTACTCCAACAGCAAGGTGTAGTCGTACAGTCCCATTACGGAGCTCCACAACTGAGTCAGGAAGGCGCTCGCTCGTAATGCCTCCAGCGCTTCCACCTCCCTGGCGGGGTCGCTGTGGTTCGACTCACTTGCCTGCGCGTGCCAGCAGCAGCACCAACAGCTTGTACGGTGTGAGCAATCGTGTAGTGGCCAGAGTCACCGTAGACTTAGGAGTGCACGTGTGTGAAAACATGCAATGCCAAGGCAGGTCGTGAAGTCAGTACTCGCGCGCCGCAGGTGGGTGAGTAACAAGGATGCTCCCCACGGGCAGCGTGAGGGTAGCGTAATGCGCGACCAGATCGTTCCCGTGCCATAATCAGCAGGAGCGGTTGTGCAAACCTGATAGTAAAGGTCATGGCCTTGATCGCCCAACACATCCAGTGTGACCGCCAAGTGCCCAGGTCGGCAACAAAAGCTCTTTGACACTGAGTGCCCGGCCTCTTCACCAAGGCGTTCTAGAACCTTAGCACTAAATTAGCTCCATGAAACCGGTGTGGCCTCTGTGACAACTCACGATACAACAGGACCATAGTCGGGCTCCTGGCTTCTTACCACCGTCCGCATGAACGCGCGTTGTTCCTGTACCATGGGATTAGCTATGGCAGGCGGCGGCGGAGGAGGATGCAAGACCCGTGGGCCAGGGCGTGTATGGCAGCAGCCGTAATATGCCTTTCGGTTTTATGTGCATGGCTGACACATCAGGCTTTCAGGCAGGCACCCAGGCCATCCATCTCCAATCCATTGGATGCCTGCAAGTCTGATGCGTAAGAGCCAGGCACTTAAAACCGAGGCGTAACCAGGTCAGAACTCAAAAGCCCGAAATGCTTTTCCTTATATCAGCATGGCTAGGGGGCCGGCTTTTCAAAGCCAAAAAGGGGCTCGGCCCCGTTGCAGCCACTTGACCCCCGTTTGATTCACATGTCAGTCTGTACGGCATAGGAGTCCGGAGCGGCCTGCCGCGGCCGGGGCGTGCCGGTGGGGAGGCGGCTGCTTCGGCCAGCGGGAAGGCAGCCGGAATGGCAGCGATGGTGCCACTGGGAGGTTCGGGAGGTTGCATCGCGACCACTTATCAAATAACATAAAGCTGGAATGCAATGGCAGGACACAGCGCGTGTGGGACGTTTGTAGTCTACTTCGTATTCTTAGAACATCATCAACGGAACTTTGAAGGTATTTCTTTCGGGCCACGATGCTTTGACGTTCAAATCGAGACGAGAGGACATATCTTTGTGAGGGAGTTACGCCGTGTACGGTCTTCTCGTCGTTATTACAACACATCGCTATGGGGCTTTGCAAACAGGGCTCGGGCCGAAACTGTACTGCGTTAGCCGAAATAGTTGCTACCGCTCATTATTGCGCTCGCCAATGATCGGCCAAACACGACAACGGTGGTGAGTACGTCGCCAAGCAACTGGAGCAGTGGCTGCGCCAGCACGGTACTGTGCACACCCACTCGGCACCGTACACCCCAGAGCAGAACGGAGCGGTGGAGCGACTCAATCACACACTCTTCGACCGTGTGCGGGCGATGCTGCATGACACAGCACTCCCGGTCAGCTACTGGCTGGAGGCTGCACTCTACACCAACCTCCTGCGCAATGTGGTCCCCTCTCAGGGCCGGGAGGGCACACCGTGGGCAGCTTATCACGGCATCCCCCCCGACGTCAGCCACCTCCACACCTTCGGCTGCCTGGCCTACATCCGCATCCCAGCTAGCCAGCAGGACAAACTCAGTCCTCGTGCAAAGGCGGGAACCTACCGCTGACCGGAGCACGGCATGGCCACCCACCGTGTCCTCGTCGAGGGCAAGGTGACCGTGAGCAGCGACGTCACCTTCGATGACAACCGCCACGGCCCGGTTCACAACAGGCGGGCACCCTCTTCGGCACTAGCCCCGCCTAGTGCCCCGGCAGCAGTGACCCCATCGGCCGCTCTACAACGCCCGCCATGCTGCCGACCCCAGCGGCTACCCCACCCCCGGCGACCCCAACACCACCTGTTGTGGTACCGCGTACGAACGCGAGTAACCACGTCCAAGAAGGATCGGCCAAGACGGCTGTCAGAAACTAACCGATCGTGAACGATGAAGGGACTTCGGCCTGTCCGAGTTTGACAGACCAACGGTTGATAACCGGTCCGCTTGACAGCAATACAGGGCTGAGCCCTATTTAACGCGGCTTGAAGCCGACCTGAACGACGACCTCTCAACTCTCGATTTCACTACAATCTTCACCTACACTTAGCTACCCGTCTACTTCATCGGCGCCAGTCAACGTCGCCTTTACCACGCTGGATCCGCCAAGGGTAGATACCACTACAAGTGGTATCGAGACCCGAGGCCCCCCGCGCAGTCCTTGGAGCCACCCCCTAGGATACATCAGCCTAGCGGCGCTTCAGGCTCGCGCTCCGGGCATCTTGGAGCTGCAGTACGGGACCTTTCGCAGGCCTGACGGTGCGCGCCTTCCTGCATGGACGCGTTTGCACGAATTCTCCGACGTTTCGGTCGCCTGCGAATCTCCAGTAGGTACTGAGAGTCCCCAGTAGGGCAGCGTAGTAACGCCAACGCATTTCCCCGCAAACTAGCAGCTAACCGTTCCAAGGGTTAATCGCTTCCGCGCCTCTCGATACCCTTGGTGGACTTGCTTTGTTTACCCGGAAGTCCCTTGTTTTCCCCCTCAGTGAGCGACGAGTCGCACACGGCCTCGTCAGGTCTCACGGACTCGGATACCAACTCTGGTGAGAGTGGGAAGCGCGTGACTTGTCGGCCACGCTAGAGTTACCCTGATGGCGCAACCTCCACCGTTAGGCAACGCACCGCCGGGTTGGCAAAACATGCTGATGCAGTACGCAGCAGGCGCGCCTCCTGCCCCAGGCCTCAATGCGCCCCTTGCTATGCCTCTCGCTGGTGCGGGATACCCTCCTCCGGCTCCGCCTCTCTTTGTAGGAGTGCAACCACCCGCCGGTGGCGCAGCTAATTGTATTGTATTGTATTGTGGTTACAGTATTTCCGCCGCCGACGCGGCGGGTGCCCTCACGAGCCGTGAGGCTCCAGAGCACGCTGTTGACGCTCATCAAAAACCTCAGTAAGGAAAGTAGCGATTTTCCTCGGATTGGTATTAAGAAATACCTTGCGCATATCAGTATCTTCAACGTTAATCAGAAACCTATTACGCAACTCAGTATACGCCTCACACTCCATGAGCACATGGTATTCATCCTCAACCTTACCCGACGTACAGACCTGACACGTACGGCACTCTCTCGGCCTATGGTGTCCTTTGTTGACCTCCAAAGGCCAACAACAAAGACGGAATTTGGCAACCATACGCAACTGGTTGGCCGGCAAATAAACACGCAAATAGCCTGTGGGATCGGAGCCCTCTCTTGCTGGTGAAGGGGAGCCCATCCAGTTATGATACCTGCAAAGCGAAACCCCTTTACCTTGGAACACACGCGGATCATCCCCTTGGCTGAACTGATCCCAGTCACTTAAAAGGAACGCAGATAACCTCTCCAGAACCTCACCCACTCGAATCAACTGAGACGAGTATACATCTACCTTCTGAGAAACGGAGTCACACGCCGGCCACTCATGGCCCAACCAACGCAAAATGATGAGCACTTTAGACGACCAGCAATCCACTTTGAGATCAGACAGAAGAGCCAGACGGAGATCATCTACTAACACGTCATGATAGACCGACCCACGGGACTTGACTATCTTATTCCAGAAACACAACGCAAGGCGTAACCAAAAGTACTGCAAAGGCAACTGAGACAGCTCCCTGTACAACAGCTTGTAAGGTACCTGCTTGAGCNCAGCACAACGTAAACAGAAGTCACGCTGGACCTGGACCATACCATCTTCCAAAGCCAAATCAAAATATGACTTACCAGCGGGTAAAACACCTTTACCTAACCGCAGGACGGAGACAATCCTATCAGGACCCCAGACCTCAGCACCATAACAGAGAACCGAACGGACCTGGGTGTCGAACGCTTGAAGCCGAACGGCAGGAGCCCACACCCTGTTCTCATCCAACCGATTACTAAGACCGAACATAGCCCGTCGCCCTGCTTCCAAAAGTTCGTTGACACAACTCGCAAACGGGGACGCAGGGCCCCAATAGAGACCCAAGTACCTAACGCGACCACACCAGTTAATAGGACTAGGAACAAGTAAACTACCAACCATGGGTGGGTGCCAAAGCGACCCATCAGTACGGAGAGGAAGCATGAGCCTCACCCCCTCAAACGCCCTCTTAACGACATCAACGGAAGCAGCCACAACAAGGGCCTCACATTTCCGAACGTTGCAGCGCATACCAAAAGCAGCACAGAACTCAATAAGCAGCTTAAGCGAGAACTGGAGGCGTGCCAACGAGGTCGCGAACAAAGTAAGGTCGTCTGCATAGAACAACAGAGGCAACCGACGATCATTAATGACAGGACATTCGTGTGCACGTGTGTTGAACCATTCGTCCATACCATCCCT